CGAAATTATAATAAACTATTAGTAAATAACCTGTCGAAATTCTGACAAATTTTGAAACCCGTCGTAACTGAAATTATGTCGAAATTCTAATTAACAATTAGTGTGTAACGAAATCTCTTAGTGACTGTCTAAATTTTGTCAAAATTATAATAAACTATTAGTAAATAACTCGTCGAAATTCTGACAAATTTTGAAACCTGTTGTAACTGAAATTATGTCAAAATTCTAATTAACAATTAGTGTGTAACCTGTTGAAATTATGACGATATTTTTCTGAAAGAATTTAGGCAAGCATCCTTAACCATGCCTCTTCCAAGGATCATTTTCTCGAGAAATTGCTGACATACTATCGGTACCGAACAAAATTAGAGGATAATCATGATGACGTGCTATTTCCATAAAGGTAGGTAAAAAGTGTTTACCATTCTTCTTTGCAATCAGATGCTTGCAAAGGAGATAACAACTATGCAAGTACGCTGAACAAGAACATATCCAGTTGTTAATATTTATATGATATCTTTCATCCATTCCAGGTGTAATATTTATAGCCGCAGCTTTGTTCCAATCCTTCTTGAAGGCTTGTCACCATGTTGGAAAACTGCGATTCATATTGTATTGGATTAGCTTGAGATCGAAGTCCGGTATCAACTGCTTGGTGAGGATTTGTATAAGCCGGTCAAGTCGAGGTCAGTTATAATTGTACTTATAGTTGTATTTTAGCACTCGCCAGTGACTTTCAGTGATCATTATGGTTCGAGCCAGGGGCATCGCAGATGGATAAGCTGAACGAGTGAACAGTTTCCAGTCTTTCCTATTGTATCAGTTTATCCACAGATACCCCCACAATCTGGAGAGATCATGGTTGCGACAAAACTGATACGTCTCTTGTGCACAGTGTTGGTAAATTTGTACAGAGTTCCAGAAGATATTTTTCTTCACCGGAATTAGTGGATGCATGTTCACATGTCGTTTGATCATGTCCACAATTACCTTGGCCTCATCATCTGAACACAAACTTCCTGCACCACTACTTGGAATTCACGATAATTCGATAAAGTCAAACTGCTGATGAGCTTCCATCGCCTTTTCCTTCGAGTAACTAACTTTCTTTGACTTTTTGTCTTTTAGACACCTTTTGATGGCATGTTCCAAATGCCAGTAGCATAGTTGTAGATTTGCCATACATGACCAAGCTTTATCTATGACTGATATTTCCTCTGCATCCTTGTCTATCAAAACAAATACTGGTAACAATGCTTCTTTCTGAAGGCTGACAAAAAACTCGCACAGAACTTGTACGCGTGAGTTGATTCTGTTTTTGGGATCATGACGTGCTGCCTCTGTGCCATCACACATTAAATAATATAGGTATGCTAATGGCATTCCATATTCATCACAGTTGACATTCACAACAAAAAGCTCGAAGCGTTCTTGATTTGTCTTGAATGTAGAATCCACAATGATTTCTTTCAAATTAGTGATGCCAATGCGATTGAATAACAGCGTTGTAAATCCGAGAGCTCTTACGAAGTCATTCTCCAGATAATATAGAATTTTGAAGCCTTGTTTCGCAATCTCTGGCTTTTCGAGGTATTTTTTTGCTGATAAGAGTTGATTCTCAGAATTCGATACATATGTTTGCTTACTGAAGACTGATGTCCAGTAGTATATCTACTCCTTGGTATGTACTTGTGCATTAATCAGTTCATGCTGTTGAAGACGCCTATACAATTCGGAGTTCTGCAGATGATATTCAACATTATTTTGGATCCATTGTTTAGCTTCCACTGAAAACTCAGCCCATCTGTACTGTGGATGTTCGTGTGCCAGCAGATGAGTACCTTGAACAAGGACATGTTTTTGTTGAGGATTAATAGTGAGTATAATGCTTCCTATGCAGGCATATCAGTTTATTTGAGCACGGGCTTCACTCCTTCATTTCACTGGCAGATTCTCAGACCTTTGTCATTGTCAGTTCTCTCGTTGTGTGCATCCAAGATATGCTGTAGCACAACCTATAAATTGCTTTTTCCTGGTGTTAAGATATACCTTCTGTACCTCCCAGTAGTAACCGGATCCAAACTCGAGAGGTAAGAGAAGAATGTTGGTGAGTTGATAAAAATTCATTTTAATTGTTTCCAGATCGTGCGTATTTGGCTGGAGTTCCTGTTGATTCAGAGAAAGACTTTCAAGAAGTCTTGAATCCAACTCAATCTTGAAGACTAACTTTATCAGCTCATTGTAATCCTCTGCATTTCGGAACTGCTCAGTAACAAACTCTTGCACCTCGTCCAAACTGAACAGGAATTCATCAAGATCATTATTATATCGATTATCCTGGACGCCGTCACTATTTTCCTGTAGAGTGTCTGGTGGTTGATTTTTAGGTTATTGCAACTTTCAGATACCAGTTCGAGATCTGTGTTGGTGTTGCTGAGATGGAAAAAGCTGGTGCTACCAAAATCGCTGTTGAGATGGGAAAGGCTGATGCTGCCAGAATCGCTATTGAGGTGGAAAAAGCTGGTGCTGCCGGAATTGCTGTTTGTTCGAGAAAGTGTGGTGCTGGTGCTTGGCATCAGTGCATTTTGGCTGGCTTTTACTTTCTTCCTAGAGATCAAATCTGTTTCTTGTCGCTTATTCTTGCATCTGTTATAGCACTGATTGCAAGTTGAGTATTCATACTGCGGATCATTGCCACGAGGATGGCAGAAGTCTAATTTCTTTTTTGTAATAACACAATAAGAGCATTTTTTTTCGCCAGAGTTCTGATTGAAGATTCCTAAAATGAACAATTTACATTTATATAGGTGATTATGCTTTATTTATTATGTATTTTACAAGCCAATAGATTGATCTTCTAACTTGATATCTTTATTTGAATTATTTTTAGTCATATTATGCATCATGTATTAGTACAATAATAATTCTGCAAAATGGTAACGAAGTACAATTCTGTGATCTACAAGTTGTAAATGTAAGGTATGCGTTTAGTAGGGGTGATTGCTTGGCCATGTGCTTTTGCACTTTGCGTGAATCCCTGTACACCATTTGTATCTCAGGAGCTAATAGTTGGGACTAATATATGTATGCATTTATGCGAAAAATCATCAGTGATTTATGGGTTTAAAGATGTTTTATTTGGTAAATGTAATCCTTTATTAATATGTTCCTTTGCACTTGGACAAGATTCTCACTCTTATATAAAAATAAGAATAATAAAATTTATTACAATCACTATTATTAATGATAAATACTAGATACATGCATTTAGACA